AAAAAAACTCACCTGCCTATAGCCTTAGTAATCCTGAAGACATTGATTAGCTTGTTCAGGTGTGTCTGATTAGGGTTGGAGCTGAACTCTGCAGCTCTCTAGGACCAAACTTGCCTACCCCTGGCCTAGGCTATAAGAAGAGTGCCAAGACCCTTAAACTGAGTTGCAGTACAGTGGCCAGGGTCATACAGAGGTTTTCTAAGACGAGTTCCACTCGGAACAGGCCTCACAAGGGTCGATCAAAGAAGTTGAGTCCTCGTGCTGTGCGTCAAGTACAGAAGCTGGCTTCAAAAAACAGACGCATGAATGCTGCCAGCATTGCTTTAGAGGTTGCAGAAGCGGGAGGTCAGCTTGTCAGTGCTCAAACCATACGCCGCACACTGCAACAAGTCGGTTTGCATGGCCGTCGTCCCAGAAGGAAGCCTCTTCTAAAGCTGGCTCACAAGAAAGCCCGCAAACAGTTTGCTGAAGACAACCTGTCCAAGAGCATGAATTACTGGAACCATGTCCTGTAGTCTGATAAAGCCAGGAAGACAGACAGACAGACGTGGAGTGGCCAGATATGTCTCCAGACCTGAACCCTATTGAGCACCTGTGGGGCATCCTCAAGCGGAAGGTGGAGAAGCGCCATGTGTCTAACATCCAGCAGCTCCGTGATGTCATTATGGAGGAGTGGAAGATGATCCCAGCAGCAACCTGTGCAGCTCTGGTGAATTCCATGCCCAGGAGGATTAAGGCAGTGCTAGATAACAATGGTGCTCACACAAAATATTGACACTTTGGACATTCACTTAGGGTGTACTCACTTTTGTTGCCAGTTATTTAGACAACAATGGCTGTATGTTGAGTTATTTTTAGAGGACAGTAAATCTGTACTGCTATACAAGCTGCACATTGACTAGTCTAAAGTATATCCAATTTTCATTTCTATAGTATTGTCCCTTGAGAGGATATAATAAAATGGTTGCTGAAATGTGAGGGGTGTACTCACTTTTGTGAGATACTGTATGTATATATATATATATTTAAAATGAGGCTTTTCAAGACCATAGAAGCACTGGCTCTTCAATGAAAAAAGGGAATTCTTGTATGCGTGTGAAAAAAGGGGATAAATTAAAATAAGAAAGTGATGGGATGAATTAAAATAAAAAATATCATGTAGTAGTTCCAATTTATTTTAATGCTTGTTTTGCCTTATTTAAGTCATCTTGAGGCCCCCTTGGAAGTTTGCTGAGAACCACTGCTCTAATAACATCGGTGTCAAATGATGATGGCATTAACAAGCAATAAAAGTTAAAAAGGTCAGAAGTACAAAGATTTTGTCCAGACTCACCTGTAGGCGAGCCATCTGTATAGGAGAGAAGCATCTCACACCATTAACAGATGGCACTAGTCTGCTGTACAGGGCCTAAAAAGACACAAAAACAACTTATAGCTAAATAAAGCATTAGGAAGTGATAAATATGCAATTATAGACTTGTAGAGAACCAGAAACAATCCTCTTTAATGACACAGCTACTGACTAATGGTTGATGAATCATAATATTAAATCCCAGGGAGACCATCCTGTGTGAAATTTAAAACATTATGATTGCAGTTGTTTACCCTGTCTGATTGAGTAGCTTCATGGAGAATGCGGGCATCGATAGCTGCTGCCACTAGATTATTAGCTGCTGTTATAGCGTGGATGTCTCCTGTGAGGTGGAGATTAAACTGAGGGGGGAAAAAATAAAGTGAGAGTCAGTAAGCTGTTTTCTGCAGCTTCTGATAAAGACAGTATCTGCTCTCACACACATTCAGTGTTGTCCAAAAGTCTGAGATAACAGAGAAAATATGAGATTCAAAATCTAATATAAAACTAGAAATAAAAAGTATTATTATTTCCATGCACGCTGTTATTAAAGCAAACCATGGACGTATCATAAAACAAATTCCGAATTATGTTATTTTTCCATTTACACTTTTGAAATTCATATGCTGATATTTACCGGTAATAATAAGAAAAATTCCATTAGAAAATCACAAAACAAAAGCATTTTCACTGGTCTCAGAGTTTTGGACATGGTGCTTTATTTTACTTGGTCTCAATGGCTGTGTGAGGTTTTTTAAGGGCTGTCATCAGTTGTGGCATACTAAGGGAAAGGGCTTTGTGATAACGGGAGACAGGATGTCTGTAGTCACTCACCTCCTCCATAGGAATGACCTGTGCATATCCCCCACCCGCCGCTCCTCCTGCAGGGAGACAAAAGAATGAGGCAGGCTGACAAACACACAGCAATGAAAACACAAGACAATATGTCGGACATAGCCAGACATGAGCTCTGATCCAAAATCTAGCGAACTGCCCTGCTGTGTACTAAATGTGCAGCAACTTCGAACGCCACACAAATAGCCATTCGCACAGCAAACTACTGCAATTAATGAGTTTGGCATTAGCATGTCACTAAGCTAATGACATGATATTCCACATACATATATAAATAAATGTAGAATTTAAAATAAAATTACATTACATCAATTACATTTATTTGATTCCATTTTGAAAATACTTTATATAAATACACACACTACATGTATTTTTTTATTTGTATATTTACAATAAATTCTAATTAAATTTTATTTCCATAATTAACTTTGATTGTTGAATTTTATTTAACCATCTTGAATTTATTTTATTTTACTGAACTCAATGCAGGGCATTCTGGGAAGACACAGTGAAAAAGTTGCATAATTATAATGCCTACATTTTAATGCAGCCTTCAAGAAGTGCATCTGTGATACCTTGAAATGTTGTTATGGTAGTTATTGTTATCCATATACTACAATATCAAACTAAAGCAAGCACACAAAAACACACCTTTGACACCAAACGTTGGGCCCTGGGAAGGCTGTCGCAGGCAAGCGAAAGAGTTGAGCTTAAGATGAGCGGAGAGGGCCTGGACAAGACCTATGGTCACTGTACTCTTCCCTTCACCCAGAGGAGTAGGAGTTATACTGAAAAACACAGACCGAAAACATTATCAACACATGCTTTCCCACATTCAAAGGGAGAAGGTTGTGACTATACATCTATTCATCTTTCTGCCTTCCTCATTTTCGTTTTCCCTCTGATCTCACTACATTAGACTGCCGGCAAACCCGCTCCCCATCAGCATCCTCCCTCCCTCTCTCTCAGTCTTTGTGGAGCAGCTCTTTTGGCAGCGCAGTAAAGGCATACCAGTAGCTGACAGTAATTGAGTAGGCTGGGTGGGGAGGGCAGTGCTGCTTCACAGCATCTGTAGGCAGAACAAAGAGCGGGACTTAAAGAAGGAGAGTTAAGGGAGAGGGAAGGGGCTGCTGATAAAGCCAGGGGTCTGCGCATTCCCCACACACATGAAAGAGACCCTGGGCCCCCATTTGGAGCTGACCGAGCCACGCTTCACACACACAGATGAAAGGGAGGCTCCTGGTGGGCTCAAGAGCCAGTGGTAGATAAGATCCCTGGGCCCACCAATCACTCTCTCTAGGAATTTAGAGGCAGAGTACAAATGTGCACACGGATGGGAGCGTGAAAACACCACCATTGACCTGAAGTTTTCCTTAAATGCTTGTAACCTTTAAAAGTATGAGTGTCTTTCTTATTTAGGTTCTTGCAGTGCAACTATGATGGTCATCAATCCATCTGCCATTAACTGATGAAAAAGATTCCAAAGTCTTTCATTTGCAGATTAAAACCTCTTCAACAAAGTAAGTCAATACAGTTTTCGTTCAACTTTGCTGTTCAATTAAGTTTTGTATCATTGCTTTTGTACCGTATCATTTCAGGGTGTGTTCACAATTGCAGTTTGGTTCTCTCGGTTCTCTCTCGGTTAAAAAAAAATAATAATAATGATGCATTTAGTCCTGGTTCGTTTAACGTACACACTGTCACTTTTAACAGTGAATCTAAAGATACAAAACAAAAGGCATAAGGACAAGATGATAACCTGATTGGACAGCTTTTTTTAAAATATATTTTTCGAAGAAAATTACCAAACATCCAAAACAACGCTGTGTGTCAGTCTGAATGCGCTCATTGCATGGGTGTACATATGGTGGTATTTTTACCAGCTTAAAACTCACTAAGAGCTTATGAAATATGCAAAGGAGTCAAAACAGTGCCAGGAACTCCTGCACATACAAAGACCTGCTGGTTCCAACACCTGTACCAAACTGTAATGGGTAACATAGCTCCAATGACAAGATGAGATTGCTTTTAGTTCGTTTAGATGTCTTTGGGCTGTATTATGTTCATTTTTCAGTCGAAAAAAGTGGGCCTGTCTGCTTGATTGGTGCACACAAAGGTTCGGATGGCAGCATTCATATATATCCAAATGAACTGCGCTAACAGAACAATCAATTTAATCAAACAAAACCTTCTAAGTGTAAACACACCCGTAGATAAATAATATGACATGAATTAAACTTCAATGACAGAAGTAAAAACTGATGTCACACCCTGCCACTAGGACATATTTGCCATTAGGCTGATGTTGGAGGCGGTTGAGAAGGGACAAATGGACTTTGGCTTTGGTGTTTCCGTAGGAAATTAACTTAAATGATTTTAGCAAATGGCTGCAATATAACAAAGAGTGAAAAATTTAAGGGGGTCTGAATACTTTCCGTACCCACTGTATATACTAAAAAAAACATACAGGCAATAACTACTGATTTGGCATAACACTATACCTTTCAAAAATTAGCAAATTGATGAAAAGTGACAAAGATATTTATAATTTTACAAAAGATTTCGATATATAAAAAAAAATGCAGTTCTTTTGAACTTTCTATTTATTGAAGAATCCTGAAATCCTGTTTCCACAAAAATATTAAGCACCACAACTGTTTTCAATGATAATTACAATGATAATAATAACAATGATGCTAATAATTAATGTCTCTTGAGCACTGTGTAAAAGCTTTACATTGTTAAACAGGAAATGAATGTTTCAATGATGCAAACAAAATTCTAAATTCAGATATTACATTGATATAACTATTTATTTAGACTTTAATAGAAAGAAGAAACAACAACAGGCCTCTCACCTGCATTCTAAACGCAGCACTTAGAGGCCCAACTCCAGCACTAGATTCAGCTTCAGCCCTGTGCTCCCAACTGTCAGGTTGCTCTAGATAAGAGATAAGGTCATATGTATGAAAAGTTGGCCCGGACGGAGCATCTAAGGAAATACAATTAGCTGTGTCTTATTATGTTCCCACACTAATGGAATTTGTGGGTTATGGAGGAAATAGCATGGGCCTCTATAACCATTAAGGTCTCTTGGAGATGGCAGGTAATGAAAGGTGAAGAAAACTGCGTGCCTGACTTAATCGGTCTCAGAGGAATCACATGCTTGTCTTGCTCATTGCATGGGTGTACATATGGTGGTATTTTTACCAGCTTAAAACTCACTAAGAGCTTATGAAATATGCAAAGGAGTCAAAACAGTGCCAGGAACTCCTGCACATACAAAGACCTGCTGGTTCCAACACCTGTACCAAACTGTAATGGGTAACATAGCTCCAATGACAAGATGAGATTGCTTTTAGTTCGTTTAGATGTCTTTGGGCTGTATTATGTTCATTTTTCAGTCGAAAAAAGTGGGCCTGTCTGCTTGATTGGTGCACACAAAGGTTCGGATGGCAGCATTCATATATATCCAAATGAACTGCGCTAACAGAACAATCAATTTAATCAAACAAAACCTTCTAAGTGTAAACACACCCGTAGATAAATAATATGACATGAATTAAACTTCAATGACAGAAGTAAAAACTGATGTCACACCCTGCCACTAGGACATATTTGCCATTAGGCTGATGTTGGAGGCGGTTGAGAAGGGACAAATGGACTTTGGCTTTGGTGTTTCCGTAGGCCTCCAGCTCTTCTGGAAGCAGACCAATCTCCTGAGCCAGCTGGGATATAGGTTTGGGAGTCTGTGCCCTGGAGATCTCTATATCACTGAGGGTTACAGAAGCAAACAGAAAGATGGAGACCAATTAGTTCTGTGCACAAATAAACAAGCAACGGTATGAGTGATGCATATTCTGTAGAAAGTAAAAGGCAAAACTGCTCGTACCTAGGCACAGGTGACAGTGATTGAAGTTTTAGTGGGCGGAGCCTCCATGGCTGGTACTGCTGTTCTTGTATCCACCTCCTGCTGCTCCTCACTACATGCTGGCAGATCACAACAGCAGCCACAAACACTTCAAAATGACTTCTTCATTCACTGCATAATTATGTGCACAAATACAGTGGGTACGTAAAGTATTCAGACCCCCTTAAATTTTTCACTCTTTGTTATATTGCTCAGAGGAATCACATGCTTGTCTTTCACTTCCATGGTAATACAATTATAATAGTTCCTTCAATTCTCAAATGACACTTCTCAAGTGAAGAAGTGCTCTATATGTTTTACGTATACCAGCAACATAAAAAATCAATTGTTATAATGTCTGCCACCGTGCCACGCTTAATATCTTTACTTTGAAGAAAATTTACCTTCCATTAGGGCTGAGCTGAGGTTAATGACTGCCACCCCCGGTCTTAACCAAGTGGGAGGGAGGCCCTTGTGGCCAGTTTCTAAGAACACCACCACATCCGAATCCATGATCTGAAAGAAAGAAAGAAAGAAAAAGAAAGAAAGACAATTAGTGTATGCCTCATATGATTTATCCCGATGTCCCTCCTAAAACAAAGCAGCATTGCCCTCTGCTGCTGAAAATACCAAACTACACCTAAAACTTGACCTGAAAACTAAGTATCTCTCAATTATCAATCATTTACCTGTTTCTGCACGGGCTTTGAGCTCCACTGGTGGGTCTGCACCATCATGCCATTGTTTTGCAGCAAAAACTGAAGAGTTGCCTTCAGGGGTCCCTCAAGACCCAGCAGCACTGCCATCTTGCCAACCAATGGGGCATCTAAAGGGGAGTTACAAAAAAGGAAATGCTGTATATTTAACCTTTGTTACAATAAAAAAAAAAATTACACTAGCATTCTAAAATTGAGTCAGTAAGATGTTTTTGGAGAGAAATTGACACTTTTATTCAGCAAGCACACATTAGTTTGATCAAAAGTGACAGTAAAGACATTTATAATTTTTATACAACAAAATCTTTTTAAAATAAATGCTGTTGTTTTGAACTTTCTCTATACTGAAAAAAAGTATCATGTTTCCACAAAAATATTAAGCAGCACAACCGTTTTCAACATTTACGGTAATAAATATTTATTGAACTGGGTTGCAAAGGGGCGGAAAATATCCCGTAAATTTCCAGAAACTTTCCATGGGAACTTAATCTGGGGAATTTTGGAAATTTTCCAAGTTGGAAACTTAACAGGAATTTATGGGAATTCATTGGAAATTTGAGGACATTTACAGAAACTGTATCATATACAAACATAAATATAAACATTTTGTTTAGTCATAAGCCGACATGCATGCAAACTAATACAAATTTTACAAATTACATTTTTGGATTTTTCTGGAACCTGTGATATATTTTTCAGGATTCATTGATGAATAAAAACTTAATAAAAATAACAGTATTTATTCAAACTAGAAATCTTTTCTAAGAAATTAAATCTTTACTATCACTTTTGATCAATTTAACACATCCTTGCAAAATATTTCTATTTAAATAATTGCTGTTATTTTTTAACATTTGTATTCAAAGAATCCTGAAAAAAGTATCACAGGTTATAAAAATATTAAGCACAACGGTTTCCAAAATTGATAAATCTGCGTATTAGAATTATATCTGAAGGATCATGTGACACTGAAGACTGGAGTAATGGCTGATGAAAATTCAGCTTTGCATCACAGAAATGCAGTACATTATATGTTATAGTACATTAAAACAGAAAACCATTATTTTAAATTGTAATAATACTTCACACTATTACCGTTTTGTTCTGTATTTTTGATCAAATAAATGCAGGCTTGATGAGCGCAAGAGATTTCTTTCAAAAACATGAAAAATAGTAATGAGTCCAAACTTTTGACCAGTACTGTACTTCTGTATGATAACAGAAAGCTGGCTAGCAGACGGTACAAGAAAGACCATCACAGCTTGAGCTAGCACATGATACCTAGCCTCATAAATTATCAATTAAATAGTGCTAACTAGCTTACATTTTTCAAATCTGATTTACTGGCTAGCTAGCTACAGTATAAACACATTTAGGTATTGCTAGTTAAACTCGAATACCATGGAACAAATATATTTACCCAAGTAATATCAAAACTTACTTGAATGGAAGCCTGGAAAATTAGGGGGAATTACCCTTAGGTGACTAGGGGGGATTCTGTGGGGGGGGGGTCATTTAAAGACACTCACATAATGTTTGCTCAGTCAGTGTATTTGTTTTAACAATGGTATAATTTTGTTGTGCAGTAGCTTACACAGCACAAGAAAGATTTAAACACAAATTTAAGTAATATTTATGTAATTTATGTGAATACTCACCAAGATGGACAGTTCGACATCATTTTGTGTTCAGGATTCAAGAAATGATCTGTGCATGTTATGAAGGAATGCACAGTGCATGTAGGGGATGTGTCCTCAATAGCCCTGCAGTAAGTGTGCTGTGTGCATGTGACTGAGGAATGTGCAGGGTAGAAATTAAACTGAAATTGCATTAAATCATTAAAAGATTATGCTGCAAGATTTTTTTTTTCCTACTACATCCCTGTTCCTGCAATTTTGCAAATTCCCAGTTTATTCCCACTAATTCCCGTTAATCCCCATGGAAATTTTCCAGTCTTGAAAATTCCCAGAATTTCCCAAACCTATTCTTGAACACCAAATCAGCATATTAGAATGATTCCTGAAGGATCATGTGACACTGAAGTAAAGGCTGTTGAAAATTCAGCTTTGCCACAAGAAGAATATATTTTATTTTAAAATATAACAGAAAACAGTTATGTTGTAATAATATTTCACAATATTACGGTTTTAACTATTTTTAATCAAATAAATGCAGTCTTAATGAGAATGACACTTATTTCCCTTTTTTTTCTTTTGAACGGTAGCGTACATTCATCTTTAGAGGATATATTTAATATATGGAGATATACGGATATTTAATACTCTATTCAGTAGAATTAGCAGCGTTTATGAAACATTTTACCTTTTGAATGCAAATGTAATAACATATGCCAAAATGCAAACAGATACACACCATGCCTGGCAAGCATTTCCAGCACAGCTCCAGCTACAGGTGAGGCAAAGCCATCTCTCTGATCCCCCAACACCACACGGCCAACATTAAGATCAGAGACCCTGCAAACATACAGTTCGAAACTTCTTGTTTTACATCTTACATAAATATACAGTATCTATAATATATTTAAAGGTATCCTGCAATGACTAGTTTCCAAATAACTTCATTGTCATAAAAATAAAATTATTTTAATAAATTCAGTATCATGGCAGATAGGAAATATTCATAGTTAGAAAATTCTCAAATCACCCACCATTGGCAGTTATGGCAAAAATATACAGATTTTTTTGGACTCTGGTTACACATATGAACATTACCAAAAAAAAAAAAAAAAAAAAAAAACCCTCTAGCTTACCCATCCACATCTTTCTGTGGCTTGATGGCATTACGGACACTTTTGGAGAGAAAGGACTGAGGAAGGTGCAAAAAAATGCCATGAACACGAGAATCCTCATTTAATCTCAAGATCTCCTCGATCACCTGTAGAATAGAGACAAAAATTCAGGAGGCTGAGAACTGGACAGACCTCTCTAAAGAGGATAGTTTCTGTTTAATCAAAAAAAGCTATTTATAGCTTTTCAGGTTTGTAGCGTCACCGACCTCTTCCTCTCTGCACTGGTGTGGAAGACAAATCTGCATTACGTTCAAGCCGATCTGTGTGGATACAAAATCGGGGCATATAACAATGCATAAGCTATCCGTTTGCATTGCCATTCATCTTATCGATCAATAGCAAATCATCTACTAAAATGTAACGTAAAGATTTGTTACTTGCACCCATTTATTTAATGCATGTTGGGCAGAAAGGAAGACAAACAGTTATACCTTTCCAGCCATCTTCTTATTCACCTCCAGCAAACCGTCATCTTCACCAGCCTATCATAAGTACAAACATGCAGCATTCAGTGTCTGAGATTCATTCACATAACTCTTTATCTAAACACAAAGTCACACCTGTATGATAGCCAGTGTAGGTTTGAGGCCTGGGTTGGGTTCTCTGATAGCTTTGAGCTCCTCTCTGCTCCTCTGAACAATGTCACTGTAAATAAGATGGACACAGAGTGCATATATTTAACCATTCAGCTCACAGCATATTTCATCAAAAGTAACATCATGCATGTTCATTAACTTCTGCTAACAGAACAGAACTTCTTATTGAATGAACATATGACACATTTTTACTTATCAAGCTTACAAAGCTGATATGCATTTTAAACAATTTGGTTATCCAATCCTGACTGCTCTTTAGCAAAAATCAATGTTGACCACACATTAAACGGTACTCCATCATTTTGCCTGTTCTAGTCAGAAACACCTCAGAACAAAGTAGAGCAATAGCTGCAAGTTTTAGGCCAAAACTTTTATCATTAATATTAACACAATAATTGCTAATATGACCAAAGATAATTTTTTTTCTCAGATTTTTTACATCCACAGCCAAGTAGATCTTCAACCTCTCTAAACACTTAAAGTTCTCCCTGTGCCTGCTCAGATGAAGTTTAAAACCTTTATACTGGCATCTCTGCCACACAAATACAGTTTATCATAACAACTAGACTGGTGTGCTGTTTTTGACTGTGACAGAAAGCAATAAAGACACAATAAATAGTAATTAGTTTGCTCAGCTTATTATAATAAATTTTAAGCAGGTTGGCAACACATTTTGACTAGCAGCAGACAAAATTATCTTGTGTTATCGTGGAGTCTATTGCATCACTGTAAGCATCTTTTGTAAGGCTGGTTGCAAAGGCATCTTTGATTATTTTAACCCTCAGTAGCAGATACCTGAACGTTGACTCCATTTACAAACATCAAAAAGATACATAGGGGTCACTTGTAGGGTTTGATTGGGCAATGATACTCAAGTTCCACACAGTTTCCATCTGTTAAAGACTTTTAGGGGAGACTGTTGTAACGCATTTCAATGACTGTAACTCAGTTTTTTGGCAAGCTTTAATATAATACCCATTAAAGAAGCTTTCCTGTAAAAATTTTTATATTACTATTCTGTTTCTATAGTCTTACAATATATGTCACACTGGAGATGGTCGTCATATATGACAATAATTTCAATGGTGTAGCAACATATTTTTAAAATGGTGTTATAAACTCAACCTGTATTACAATACTTCCAGGTCTTTTAAAAAATTATGTCATTAAGATTTCATGTTTTAAATTTTGCAAAATCCGATACAACATTGTTGGCTCTATGAATCTTTAAATAAAGTCAGTATTGTGATCGCCAAGGGGAGCGGGTTAAATGAGGACATTCAGTGTAAAACTGACCTACATGCTTTCAACCTTCGTTGATACAAAAAAAATGTTTGTAAGAAAACTTCATACAGTAACAGTAGATATGCAGCCTAATTAGCACACAACGCAGTTCATATTAAAAAGGGTGTATAGACGGAAGACTAATGGGAGGCAGAAGTTACATCAGCTGGCGGCCAAACACCGGTAGCACGTGGCACCAAATCAACGCCAAGACAATGGATATTTTAGTCAAGTCGCTATATATTCAGAACCAAACAGTTACAATCACACAAACATTCAGCGTGCTTTAGAAAATAAAAGTTTTGTCGCATTTAGGTTTAGAGACTTAATAGCGTCTGTTTTGATCTTACCCAACAGCACTTTCATACAGCGGTCCATCGTTTTTTCGTGGATGACTTTTAAAACAAACTACCGTTTCACTTGTACCGCTGGTCGAACTTGCTTCCCGAACCCGTAGATAAGAAACCGCGCTATTAACAGGTATGAAGCTGTTCTCTGAGTTTAAAACTTTGACACCCGCTCGTGATCGTCGTATGCTCGCGTGGCTCCGATGTGCATAGCGAAAAGCGACCGACAGTCTCATCTTAAAACGTCCACCCTGGTCTGCGGTTTCTAAGCAGAGCGGTGTCTTGTCTGACGCTCAGGTGATCTCGCGCAGTACTAGACTAGTGGACAAGCCAAGCGCGTGCCCGATAGAGCGTCGCAATACACCCAAGGAGGAGGAAAGGTTGAATGGTCTTGGCGTTTCTACAATACTCATTCACAAGTCTGAGCAAGAACAAATGACTCACCTGGCATTGGGCAACATTTTTTTCGTAACCTTACATTCTCTCTCTTTACGAATCTGTATGTATATATACAGCCGTGGCCAAAAATTGAGAATGACACAAATGTTAATTTTCACAAAGTCTGCTGCCTCAGTCTTTATGATGGCAATTTGCATATACTCCAGAATGTTATGAAGAGTGATCACATGAATTGCAGTTAATTGCAAAGTCCCTCTTCGCCATGAAAATTAACTTAATCCCAAAAACATTTCCACTGCATTTCAGCCTTGCCACAAAAGGACCAGCTGACATCATGTCAGTGATTCTCTCATTAACACAGGTGAGAGTGTTGATGAGGACAAGACTAGAGATCACTCTGTCATGCTGATTGAGTTAGAATAACAGACTGGAAGCTTTAAAAGGAGGGTGGTGCTTGAAATCATTGTTCTTCCTCTTGTGGTTACCTTCAAAGAAACGTGCAATTATCATTGCTTTGCACAAAAAGGGATTCACAGGCAAGGATAATGCTGCTATATTGCACCTAAATCAATCATTTATCGGATCATCAAGAACTTCAAGGGGAGAGGTTCAATTGCTGTAAAGAAGGCTTCAGGGCACCCAAGAAAGTCCAGCGAGCGCCATGACTGTCTCTTAAAGTTGATTCAGCTGCGGGATCGGGGCACCACCAGTGCAGAGCTTGCTCAGGAATGGCAGCAGGCAGGTGTGAGTGCATCAGGGAGTGGGCTCACTCACAATTTTGTCTAAGAACACAGCCATGAATAAAGAATGGTACAAAAACATCCTCCGGGAGCAACTTCTCCCAACCATCCAAGAACAGTTTGGTAAGGAACAATACCTTTTCCAGCATGCTGGAGCACCTTGCCATAAGGCAAAAGTGATAACTAGTGGCTCGGGGAACAAAACATCGAAATTTTGGGTCCATGGCCAGGAAACTCCCCAAACCTTAATCCCATTGAGAACTTGTGGTCAATCCTCAAGAGGCGGGTGGACAAACAAAAACCCACAAATTCTGACAAACTCCAAGCATTGATTATGCAAGAATGGGCTGCCATCAGTCAGGATGTGGCCCAGAAGTTGATTGACAGAATGCCAGGGTGAATTGTAGAGGTCTTGAAAAAGAAGGGTCAACACTGCAAATACTGAGTCTTTGCATAAACTTATTGTAATTGTCAATAAAAGCCTTTGACACTCATTAAATTCTTGTAATTATACTTTAGTATACCATAGTAACATGTGACAAAAATATCTAAAAACACTGTAGCTAAGAACACAGCCATGAATAAAGAATGGTACAAAAACATCCTCCGAGAGCAACTTCTCCCAACCATCCAAGAACAGTTTGGTAAGGAACAATACCTTTTCCAGCATGCTGGAGCACCTTGCCATAAGGCAAAAGTGATAACTAGTGGCTCGGGGAACAAAACATCGAAATTTTGGGTCCATGGCCAGGAAACTCCCCAGACATTAATCCCATTGAGAACTTGTGGTCAGTCCTCAAGAGGTGGGTGGACAAACAAAACCCCACAAATTCTGACAAACTCCAAGCATTGATTATGCAAGAATGTGCTGCCATCAGTCAGGATGTGGCCCAGAAGTTGATTGACAGAATGCCAGGGTGAATTGTAGAGGTCTTGAAAAAGAAGGGTCAACACTGCAAATACTGAGTCTTTGCATAAACTTATTGTAATTGTCACTAAAAGCCTTTGACACTTATGAAATTCTTGTAATTATACTTCAGTATACCATAGTAACATCTGACTAAAAACATATTGGCTTATTAGTCATTAATTTCTACTTTTTCTCTATATTTTGAAATT